CAGTTTGCAGGTTTAAATCATCAGAGCTTCCTACAGAACCTATCTTGATCAGCAGTAATGGTGCATGATTAACTATTGCACACAAAACATTTTTAAAAAGCCATGGAAGAAAGTAAGGTGCTCCAGAGTTAGGCAATCCCAGAATTAAGAATTTATCCTATTGCACCTTCATGGTCAATCTTAAATTATATTTAGTCACGTAACTTTTTCTATAGAGTTCTTCCTCATTCAGTGAAGGTAACAGATGTTACAAGTGAGCCAAGTAGTTAATTGCCCAGCACCGTGTTTACCACACACACTTAAAAAACTTGCTCTGACTGAAAGTTTATTCTTATCAGTAACTGGAGTTTTTCATGGTGCATTTTCCTATTTCAATTCTAGGGTACAGGTCCATGCCTTAAGAATGAAAAACTTAACATGGAAGCACATGCACTCGTGTCTCTCCATGGTCCCCACCGAGGACTTCTGAACTGCGGCATCCCAGCCAAAGGGGAAGACAGGCAAAGCAAGGATGGCAGAACATCTAGCATCCATTTGTCTGTTCTGGTACAGGATGCCCCAAAGCAGGTCCTGGACCACACAGAAGGGAGCAGCATCTAAGTGACTGCTTTGCCAAACTCTATCTATCCTGGAGCTCCTGCTGTCCCCTCATACTGCAGAGGCATAACCGAAACTGGAGGTGACTGCCGAGCGTGCATCCAGAACTGACACAGCAATCTGAGATCCAAAGATGCAACTTCTAAGTTGAAATGACAAAGGTGTTGGCCGTCCCAGCTGTAAGCTAAAGAGTGGAGGGCACTGCCAGGCAGACTTAGCTTTGGGCAGGTTATAAACAAGGCTCTCTTTAGATCACACATACAGAGAGATGCTTGGCAAAGAAAAGGATATGGGGAAGAAAACTAGTAAGTAGCTGTGCTGATTGTGGTGAGAGACTGGGACAAGTTGGTGGAAACTGAAGCCTGATGGGAGTCACCGTCCAATACTTGTTCCTACCTCTAGTTTCTGATGACATTTACCACTACAGCAACTGAGTGGTTCTTAAACATTAATGCATCACCTGGTCCCTGCAAAGTGACAGCACTGTCTTATTTCCACAGGCAGGCATGGCATGGGAAGATTGTGGTAACAAACAAACAAACAAGAAAAATGCATGATTTGGGTAATTAATTTGTGTGAGCACTAATTTTCCTGAGGCTGTCAAACTAGAAAGCAGTCTGTATGGTGAAAGCATAACCTCAGTTAGTTTTCAGCTGCAGCTGTGAGTGCTCAGCTCTTCTGCAATCCAGCCTGAGACAGAGGTAGGGAGAAAATCTGATTCTCTCAGGTGGCATTCAGCTGCCTTAAATGATATCTATCTCTTTGCCTCCCACGCTGAGTTTCCAAGGTCTGTAACAATTAAGGTGGGGCCCAACAGCCTTGTCCATTATATAATCCTCATCTATACCTAGATGATGCATGCTGAATGAGGTGTGGATCCTTTTGAAAAAGTGTTAGCGTGGGATTTTGGAACCAAAGTTTGCTATATTCATGCCTATGGAGCTGAATGTTCCCTCCCTCCCACCATATTGTGTCACACATAAAGAAGGACTGTATTCTTTCACTATGTATTTGTATAGCATCAGGCACAGCAGATACTAACAGGGCACTGATTTTCACCCTGTGTGTTATAACAGAAACAAGATTTCCTATTCTTATTATGCTGTTGGAGTCTACTAAGCAGTCTGGAAGCAGGACAATACAGTAACAGCAGATAAAAAGCAGGAGACCCCAAGTACTTGTAAAATAATCTATTTATGGTTACTCTGTTCAAGTGGGTAGTCAGGTTAAAAAGGCTCCAGGCAACTTTCTTTACAGGGGAGAGCAAAACTTTTATTTACAACACTGTAAGTAGTGAAAATCTCACTCTTTTTCTTCAAGTAGAATCTATTGATTTTTATCATTAACACCTATGGAGCTAAATACCTGCTGACCAAAGAAACATAGAACTGGAAACCATATTCCACAGCATAACATGGAAAAAAGAATGTATTTATGCTACAGTCTCGTTGCACTCCTGCTAAGCAATATCACTCAAATTTTACAGGAGCAGTTGTATGACATTTTAACTCTCAGCTGTTCAGTCATCTTTATTTTGTTCTGAGTCAAGATGTGGCATACACGTATTGCACCATTTTAAATATTTTATTTGTTTTGCTCCAGATTCTTTTCATAGGAAGTGTGGGAAAAATAAATGTAGACGAAATCAGCTAACAAACAAGAATGTTAAGACTTGGACTTCTCAGAAGCCTGTCATTTAAATGGTTTATAATTAACTTCCTGAAATGGATTAATGAGGTAATATCTGGTTTGTGAGAGTCACAAACATTATAGTAATGTTAGTCTTTGCTTGTAGCTACTGTTTGATAAATGACCTAATTCTGATTTAGTGGTCTAGTAGCTAGTTTCACGGTAGCATGTTTTCCATCAGTGGGATTTAGCAGATCATAGGAGGGAGGGTTATGCAAGAGAACATCCTTCTTGTTTTAGATAGGATGTTCCTATAAAGAAACTGGTTCGCTGTTGGGAAGCGCAAGATCACCTAACAGTTTCAGTCCCGTGGCTGCAGCACTAACTAAAGGTTTCCTGCAGTGTTGTGTTTAACAGCACTATCCTCAACTCTAGCACTGAATTTAGCCACCTCTCTACAGAACACTTGGTCCTCGACAGCTTCACATGAACTCTCAGTTATCCTGTATCACACCATATGAAACAGACACACCTTCCTGCAACATTCAGATTTTCTTTAGAACCAATAAACCACCAAAATGCACTAAGTGCTCTCCTGCGTTTCAGATGAAGATGTGTAACCATCTGTCTGGATTAGAGGTGACACATATGCCATGGAAAGTAAATACCAAATAGATCCCATGCTGGGACTACAGCCTGGAACAGAGACCAGATCTATAAAACTAAGGGCTTGGGAAGAATTCATTCCTCACTGCCATCTCTTCCAACAGAAGAGCTCAGGGCCACCAACAGAAGCTAGAGAGAGCCAGGTTGAAAATAATTAAAATGAGGTGGTGCTTCACACAGTAGGCATTAAAGCTGTGGAACTTCTTGCAGAGGAAGTTGTATATGACAGAAGTTTTACAAGGTTGCAGAGGGAAGCTGGACAAGCACTTGGAAGAGAGGTCCATTGGAGGTTACTGATTAGACAAGCCATAAAAGCCTCTGGAAATGCCTTGAATTAAAACCAGTTGGAAGCTGGAAGAGTATTAGAAAGAGATATAATTTATGCTTGCCTTGTCTTTACTTTTCCTTAGGCATGTAGGCCCTGGTGAGAGCCAGAGCAGGGAGACTTGATGGACACTTGGTCAAACTACTACAGTCACTCTTCTGTTATTAAGAGACATATGAGAGCTTTTCTGCCTGGCCTGCAGAAGAGCTTGGTTCACACATCATATAATTCTACAATCTGCCCAAGGGACAAATTCTGCTCCCTCACTTTCAAGAGCAGGTCTGAATAATGCAGTCAGCTAGAACAAATGGGATAAATTGAGCTTATTTGGAACTTTGGAATAAAAAGCACAGTTTATATGTGCTATAAATAAATACCCACGTACATGGGTAGCCTCAGCTCTTAACTAGTCAACTAGTAAATAAGTTTGATCTAACTGTCAATTGATTTCCTAGCAATCTACAAAGAATTATGAAATGCTGGTAGTTTATGCTTTTAACAGTCACTTTTAGAGGCTGCGAGCGCAAAGATGTAATTCCCAGAGGAGACAACATATACTGTTGTGAAGATACTTGGAAACAACTAATAAAACCAACAGCCATGCAGAATTTTTTACGTTAAAGCTTCATGAAATTCACTGCTGGCAAATGTAACGCAATACACTTTAAGGGAATCATTGTAATGACTTCAATTTGATTCTGATTTAACCAGAATTATTAGGAAAAGACTGGTATACCACTGCGAACAGCATGATAAACAATTTCTGAAGACAATGAAAAACAAAAGCAAGACGTTCCAGTACCTAAAGCATGAAACTAAGACCAACACTGATCCCTTCCAGCGAATCTGTGCCTATTTACAAGCCCACAGTTCTGCTGTCACCCGGAATGTTTGCTGCGGTTAGTCTTCCTTACGCTACTCGCTAAAAACAGAGATGAAGATGAATTAAAATAATGTTATGGGAACGGAAAAAATTATTCCCATGTGATCATAGAATGAAGAAAGCTGCACTTCACTGAAAGGAAAAAATAAGAAGGGACATAATAAAAAGATGCCAAATAATAAGTGTTATAAAGAAGGTATAATAATTAGAGTTATAGAAGTGGCCATTTCCACTCATCCTCCTTCACAAAAAGGACAAAAGAGTATCAAAAAATACTGAAAAACAGCATCAAAAGGTTTAAAAAAAACCTCTCTGCAAGTTAGTTTTTGGAACACACAGTAGTACATTATCACTCAAGCTAAGACAGGAATAGGATTTTTAAAATAAGTAAGAATTTATACTGTTTTCATGCATACCTGCACCCAAACTGAACAAAAAGAGTATCTATACAGATGAGAGAGAGAGCAATCTCTGCCATTCCCAGCACAGACGGCTCAGTAACTTGCATTGGAAACTCCTTATGGCAGCTCACTCCTAATCTGTCCAGTACTGGGTTACTGGTACTTTGCTCTGAAATGCTTGGGAGCTCTTACCGTGGCAGGCTGTAGATGCCACACTAATCTGGTATTAGAAACAACATTTTCCTTTGAATAAGGCTGCTATTTAGCATTACCAGAGCCCTCCCACTATCCGTTACCTGGGCGGACAGTCCTTTTCGTAGCATTTCTTTTGTCGCCCGTTTGGCTGTGTTGCTGGGTCGCAGAAGGAGTTTTTGATTGCTCCGCTTCCCTTCCGCATGCAGTGAGCAATCTGGCGCCGCACCCCTGTGAGAGAAAGACACAAAAAACAGTTAACAGTAATCCATGTAGGCTGGGGATGAGGTACAGAAATCCTCTAGCATGGGGAGTACACACTGGTCATACTCCACATCCCAGAATACAGTAACTATGAAAGTCAGTTCTGCTGAATGTCTGGCCTAAGTCAGGTATGAGCATCCTTTAATCAAGCTGAAAAACTTGAAGAGAAGACTTAATGAGAAGACTCTCATTAAATTAACTGTGCTATTAATTCACAGCAATTAATATGCAGATGGTAGATCACTGTATCTCTGTGACTTTTATCCTTCTCCTGGGAAGCAAAGGGCCTAACAGCACTGTTACTATGGTGTCAGAGATAAGTGTTAGGCTGTTTTACAGAATGTTTAGGAATCAAGCTTCTCCTTGCCTCACACTTCCTAATAACTAGTGTGGGAAACTATGTGAAAGATAAGAACAGTAGTCTATAGATACTTGGGAAATATGAAGATATTCCTCTATAGAACATATACTTATGTTCCTCTGTAAAGCAATGTCCCCACATATGGCAATTAAAACATATTTCCTAAAATTTCATGCTAGCATTATGGTTATCTTGCTTTAAGTAGTTTCACAGCATTCAAATGTTCTTTTCTTCTCCAAAATTTAATAATCTACTTACAAAAATAAATACAGAAAAAACAGAATACCAACTCTAATACTAGAGTATCCAAAGCTAGCAACAGAGGTAACTTTTGGTGGGAGAACTAAGCATGGACTGCACATGTGAAGGGGAGGTTGTAGTCAGATGTTACTGAAAAAGGCCTCCACAACACAAGGAAATTAAAAGCTTTTTATGCATATTTGGGTCATTCCGTAGAAGCAGATGGAAACCTGTATCTCATTTTTACAGCACCTTAAGACATCAGGTCTGTGACACTGTGAGGAAATGCTATAGGTTTTAGAATACTTTCAGACTTGTGACTGAGACATATAAGACAAGTACTGACAACAGCACAGGATTTGATGACTGAGTCTCCTCCAGTCATACGTGAAGGTTGATTTGCTAGAACAAGGATTAGTTTCACCTAGAAGGGAGGATTAAGGGATTGCAGCCCTGTGCTCCCATTAATACTCTTCGCTGAGGCATTCAAGTTCCAGAGTACATGATGCGGAAGTAGCTGCACGACTCTGCAGTGTGGCTGGATGTGGCTCTCTCCTGTCCCTAGGCGACTTCAAGCAGCAGAAAGCTTTTTGGTTCAGTGCAGGACTCCCAGTGAGCAGTGCTCTGTTTTATGCTATGAAAAATGTAACTGGAATAGTTAGCAACCTTCCTGCTAGTTGTAAACAAAGCAGTTCACAGAAATATGTTTCTGTCCCTTTCAAAAGCATGATATGTTGCTGTTACAAATGCAAATAAGAGAAGAACTCTTTTGCTTTGATGAATTTTTTAGTGTCATTTCAGCTGCTGTAATTCACTTTAAAACCACTATAAACCTTTGCAAAAGTTTTGTTTCGAGGCTGTACATTCTCATAAAACATTTGCTGATTGCTGGCATCAGTAAACTAATTTATCCACACAGACAGTTTTTATTATGAAACTTATGTGAACCCTCACTGCAGTTTCAAAATCTGGAAAGTTCTGGGATGGATGTATATATTTAAAGAAGCCATAAATGCACAGTTTTTTCATCATGACTGTATAGTTCAGTTCCAAAGCTGGAAGGAATCCTATATGCATATATTGATCCACAGATATATATGTAGATATACGTATAATGACATAAATAAAACAGTTGGTTTTTTCCGCTTGAGCAAGTTGAACTAGAAAACATTGCAAAAGCACAAAACTAATCACCTTACACTGATCCTGCCCTACCAAACATTTATACAGTTAGATAACTTAAATGTGTAATATCTTATTTAAGTCACAGATTAAAAATTCTAAATATACTTGAAAACTCAGTAGAATTGGAAACCTAAACACTATTTCTGTAGGGCTCTGAGAGGGTAGCTGTTTTCCTCCCTTCACCTCTTCTATTTCTCTCTGACCTCAGTGCTAACTAGTCCATGCTGACAACTGTTTTGCATGCACAAGACGCTGACTGTATTCATCAGGAGATTGTCTCTGTGGTCATAATCCCACTGCAAAGATCTTGCTTCTTCCTCTGGAGTGGGAGCATCCCATTCCTTTCTGCTCACTTCAGCACTCATTGCACTGTAGTCCTTCCCACACCCATGTTTCTTTACAAAGAAGTGTACCACCTCAGCTTTGTGAAAAAAACCCTACAAATATTTCTGGAAAAAAAAGAGAAAAGAAGAATGACAACAGTCAGATCAAAGAATGATCGTAATTTCACTAAATCTGCTCAGAGATTGCTTCTACCTCTCTGTGCCACTTCAATCCTAATGCAGGTCTTTTTAGATGGGAGGTTGACCCACTCAGCTCCTGATTTCTCAGTTAGTTTGCAAAAAAAGGTGCCAGTTTAAAATCACTTGGGTGTGGAAGGTTTTTGAAACAGAGATTAGAAATCTGTTGGCTGCATAGCCCTCAGTTTGGGCAAAATTAAGGCTGAGAACAACACCAATGAAGGACCAGAAGCAAACACATAAAGTGTTTATGCAAAAGAGCATACTTGATTGTAAAACTAATTTGAACATGTAATTGTCACGGTTGTGTATCAAATCAGATAGTCTGCAAGGAGTTCACTTTGGTATTCGAATAAACAAATTACATTCAGTGTATGCACAAGTTATGTACACAATCCAAGCTCCAACCTTTACATTCTTGGTATTATGAAACTTAGACCCATAATAGCGATGGAAAATACTGTGACCTTTGTTTTCTAAAATCAATGTCACAAGTTTAGTACTACAATTCAGTTCAGGAACACCTGGAGGTAATTTTGCAAAGTAGTCCTGATAACAGTCATGAAGGATTTAGAGGGCACATAACAATTAATCCCCAAACAAATCTTACAGTTAAGTCCTCTGCAAAGCTTTGAAAGTTTGCCAATTACTGATGATATCTATGGAGAAGTAAATTGTTGAGGTTGCCTAATACTCTCCCTTAGTTGCAGCTTTGCTGTGCTTTGCTTCTCGTTACGTTCAATGCCACTCAAAGATAGTTCTAAGAAACATGATCTCTTTAGACCAGGATGAAGGATTTATGCTTGTAATTTCTAATTGATCATTATTTAAAAAAAGAATAATGGGTAGTTGGTCTAGAAAAAAACTCAGTGAGGCATTTAAATTAATCTTCCTGTAAAAAAGCTTATGGGCTTTACATGCTGTCTTGACAGTAGGCTCTGGAGGACAGGCTCTTGGCCAGAGGGTGCAGTACTTTGCAGGACACTGTGCAGTGTGCACACATTCTGACTGCAAAGCAATTACTTTCTGCATAAAGCAAATGGCAGGCAGAGACTCAAACTGCCCTGCAGTGAGGACAGAGCATGGCTTATGATTTTTAGTATAAATTATCCCCTTCAGTGTTTTTTTGCCATGAAATGGATTGCAGTGTAATTACTGAACTATTTTCTACATTGCGAATGGGTATCAGGTATTGCAATGTGTTGTCCTTTTCCCTGCATGCAGTATTAGGAATGTTTACTACAGAAAAGATTGATTTTTTCAGACAGTATTTTTCCCTGTTAAATGGTGCTATTGTAAACTGGCCAGACCCACTCTTTGAGACTACAAAAAACAGGGGCACATGAAGGAAATGAAGGAAAACATGAGCATATTTGCATCTTCTCTTTCTCAGTTGCAATGGAGTTGGGGAAGAGTATGGGGCGTGGTGCTACCTGGAGGCCAAGAATCTTTTGGAAAATATCTTTAGGGAGCTGTCCTGGGTTAATTCTGAGAAGGGACAGCTTCACTCTACGAAGACATTATTCATCATTGGGACTTTTTCCAGGTACATCTCCCTTGGATAAGGAGCTGTATCATAGGGCTAAACACGTATTTTTTTCTCTTAGGACAGATGAGGCTTTCCTGCATCAGCCCATTCCCATGCCTGGAGCCCCATTTATCATTCCCTAACTCAGCTTCACTCTCTTTGCTCCAGAAAGCATATGTTTCCATTGTCCTGATCTCTGTGGCTACGAAACGCCAAAGTGCCCTTGGATTTACTACTACCATATTGACCAGTCTTGATGAGATGCCAAATCTTTAGGCAGGTCCAGGTTTGCCAAGAGAACAAAATTCTAGGTAAGGATCAATTTCTCCCACTGGCTGTGGCTGTCAAAGTTAGTTCAATAGTTCACATTCCTTGGTCCTCCCTTTTATCTTGAAAAACTATTGGTTTATTAGTTACTGAATCATAGAATCATTAAGGTTGGAAAAGACCTCTAAGATCATTGAGTCTAACCATCAACTCAACACCACCATGCCCACTAAAGCCCCCAAAACCAAACCGCACAAATATTTGCACAAATGATAACTGCAAAATTCCTTGAAAGTTATTTTACTACTACCTTTAGTCTAAATAAATGCAACTTTTCTTATCTCCTTGACCCCCACTGGAGGCTTGTCTTCAGTAAGACTTGTCATGAAGCACAGCAATAGCAGAAGATGATCTTGCCTACTTCAATGCACTTTATCTTTCAAACCTTTCAAAACTCTTCAAATGCCTGAGATTTGGCACAACAGGTCTGTTACTGCCAACGGCAATAAATTCTGAATCTAAACAGAGTGTACATTCAGATAAAATCAATCTCAACATTCAAAGCCAGAAGGAAGTTCTGTGGAAGTCAGAGAAGGGTGTAGCTTAATCCAGCACCATTGGGAACATTCAGTTCTGCCTTTATTCTGCCTCCTGGTCCTGAACTGAACTCAGGGGGGTCAAACCACAATAATACGTAATCATGTGAGACTTTCTGGTTCTAGGTCAACAATCACTACCATGCCCATACTCCCTGTTAAATGTAGCAAGACTTTAGAGTTTCCAAATTTCCATAATGATGGAGAGCTAATATTTTCCAAATACACCTTCCCTGCTGCTACGCCCTTTTTTTTATGCAGCAAAGCTCCAGGTATTTTTGCTGATGTGTTTGTGCTCTGATCATCCCGGCATAAACCTGCTATGTCACTGCCCCAGTGTGGTGCTTAGGAGGGCCAGCTAGCTCAGATTCAGTGCCAAGCACAGCTGGTCCACCTTCAGACAGCCCAGAGCACAACCAGATTAAGCATCAGGTACCTACAGAAAACAGCAGACAGACTGTAATATCGGAGCTCCCCTGCTTCAAGTAATGCACTGAAGCTCTGTGCTAGGGTTTCCCTTTTTTCTGGGCAGGGAGTAAGTGACAATACCCCGACTGCATCATATATTAGCAGATTACATCCACCTTTACACCTGTTCAGTTACTTTTATAAATGTATGTATCTAAGAGGAAAGAGAGCAAAGGGTCTATTAATGTCTTTTCTCCTGTCCATGAAGGAATGCGGAGAACTGGGAAGGTCTCTGTGCCCTTTTTGAACTGTGATGCACCTCTTGGTTCCCCTGCAAACTCATGTCAGTAAGTCCACAATCTTGCCTGAAACATATAATTTCTACTTATGTAAAGAAAAAGCCAAAGAGCTCAAGAAATATTTATTAAGAGCACAAAGACAGTAAACGGGAAGCTACTTATTACATAAAAACTGGACCCCGCCCCCTATATTCTGCAGTCTTCTATTTAAGTAATCCATGTGGCAGTTAGAAATCAAAGCCAAGTCACACAGTTCTTTAGCCAGAAGGTAGTACACAGGGTTATAATTTATTTATTGAGAAACAGTTCTGGGAAAAGTGCAGCTGATGTAAAAAAACCCAAACCAACATAATAAACAATCTAATAACACTTCCCCCCCGCTTCTTTTTGTTACCATGCCAATTGTTACTTTAAACACTATTCACAACTAGGTATCAGAACTAAAACATACAGCATGCACTTAAGCAAAACACTTGTTTTGGGTACCTATTTAAAGAAAATGTGGGGTTTTTTTCTGCCAACCAGAAAGCACATGGTGTTTTGTGCTGAGAGACTCTTCTCAAAAAAAACCCCCTCAAAACCAAACCACACAAACATATGTATATGGATATATAAACATCTCTATAATATGTCCATTATATATAGCAAAATTTTTTATATAATATAGGAACGTTATTGGCATGGGGTAATTTATACTATTCTTCTAAAATTCTTCCTTTAATCTCCTAAAATTAAAGCCATACAATGTCCTTTGTTCAAACCACTGAAAATGCATTATTTTAGTGTCTCCCCTGACAGAAAAGATTAAAAAATTGTTACTCCTGTAATCATCACTGCTTCTAGACTCCCAACTGGATTTGTTAGAACATTTGTTTGTCTTTTTCTTTCCTTCTGGAAAGTAGTTAAAGAAAGCAATAATTATCAAAAAACATAGACAATACCCTAGCATTAGAAAGAGAAAAGGCTTATTTCATGTTGTTTGTCCAGAGGCTGTAACATTTTTCTCATCTTTTAAAAGGATGATAAAAAGGATGGATAAAAACTTTTACTTTTGTAAAGAAACTTTCAGGTTTTTTGTCACTATTGTTGGTTTACTGCAAGCATTAACTTCATCTCATTGATGTTAACTACTTTAAAGAAAGCTTTCCTGCTAGCATTTTCTATGTGTTACCAAAGGCAAACTTCTAGACCTGTTGTTAGATCCTACTTCATGATCATCATTCTGCTTGTCTGGTTTAACATGCTGCACAGAACTTCAATATAACTGCAGCTGTTCCCAAGCCATTGTACGGAGAATGGCAAAGACATGTAAGTTCTCAAGACTGATTTAAATAAAGTAGTTACTAAGAAATGCACAAAAAGTATTGTTGCTTATCGAGGCAGGACAGAAACGAAGCATATTTTTTGTAGTTAACATATTGGAAAGACTCAGTAGGGAAACAAGAGTAGGTCATAAATTAGTTTTGCTGAGAAGTAGGGTTATTGTGAACAATATTGACAACAAATTATGAGGAAAAGAAAACTGTAGTTTTTCATTTTGGTCACAGAGGTTGAGAATTTCAGGGCAGGTGTTACAGAAACCTATTTGCCTTAAATGATTTAATAAAATTTTATTTTGAAGCCAAAATACGTTATTGTAACCATGTGATCTGATTTCCCACCAAAGAACTTTAAAGAACTTTACCTAAAGAGGACGCTATCCAGAGGATATCCAGTATCCAGAGGACGCTATCTGGATACTTAAAGAACGAGACTTTCCAGTAATGAAGACAAACAGTAACAGAAAAAGGAAGTGAGGAATTACCTCTTCCACACGTAACACTGCAGGCTGTCCAGTCTCCATACTGCCAAAAATACTCCGGCTCTCCAATCTCATTCTCATTACTTTCTTCTTTACGTACAGTATATTCATACTTGATTCCAGGGTTAGTTTCTTGAAAAAGTAGCTGGAAAAAGAGTGTGGTTTATTTAATTACTTATGATTTCAATAATCTTCTGACCCAAAGCTTTCGAAGGGCGAAAACAGAAGAATCTGCAAGGTTTAAAGGAGTCCATTTTGGAGCCTACTACCAGTTCAGAAAAGCAGACTGGCAAAACTTCCATTTGTGTGCTGACAGAGGCATACATGTATCTTTCTAAGACACAGTTGTTTGCCATGCACTTTTGCAAGCACAGGTGGGAGTAAGTGGGTCAGCATAATTGGTATCTATTGACTGTAAGAAAAGATAATGCAAAGTCCATCCAAGGCACTGCAAATGTGCTGCTGATCAAGAGCTATTGCCTATCAGTATTACAAATTATAATTTCCCTACCCTTCTGAAATAGCTGTTACAAAACAACCAGTAGGTCAGAAAATTACAGACTTTATTCAGACACTGCTTTAATACTATTTTTCAGTGTTTCTGGATTAAGAAGGAAAATTCCAATTTTCCTTGAGAAGAGCCACTCAAGAAATTTACTGCTGATGAGAGGGAGAAAAGTAAAACATCATCAAGGTATAAAAGACTTCAGCAATGAACTTCTCTTCCTCCTAATTGTGTCCTTGACCTTGTTACTGACAGTGAAGATTGAGCACCCATTAGATGTGCCTTCTCAGCAGACATTCAAAGTGTGAAAGTGGCTCCCATCACATCCCTAATACTTCTTTTAATTGCACGGTGGATACAGGCAAACAAGCCAGTAAAGATACATTCAGAGAACAAAGGGGAAATTTAACACTATTTTTGCATAATTAACAGAAACTGGTTATGTTTAAGTTAGAATCTATAAAGCAACATAAAAGAAACAAAAGGGAGCAATGTCAGTGGATGCTAAATGGATCCATTTCACTTACCATCTATCTAATGCTGTATTTTCTTGCTCAGTGTAAGCTGTCACTGCTTTCAGCCTTCCCTAGCTCTCACTGTTCACAGCCTGACATCAGCACCGTTTTTGTGATAAATAGTTACTTTTCATCTGTGGTTTACATCACAACCACACGTTAGTCTAAGCTGGCACAAGAGACAAGGAAGTTTGGGCAAACAACTAAGCAACTACAGGTGGCAGGATCCTTATCCTAGTGGCAGCACTGGATTATACCAGCCTTTAATAATCATTGAACTATGACACTGGACATCTGTCTTCAGGCAGGATGAACAAACCTCTCAAGCAAGGTGTTTATTTCTCTCCAGAACAGCTCAACTGATTTTTGCAAGACAGGATGCTAACTGAGTGGTTTATATGCAAACATACATATTTTTCCAGCCTCAGTTTCAGAGCCCCAGCACATTCTGTTGTCATCCAAACCCAGCAGGTTCTGCTAGTGATCTCCTATTTACCTGGATCCATATTGATTCATTGGTGGGTCCTGGAGCAGTCAGATTTTCTAGATCCCCCGATCTGTCATACTGAAATATCGTGCCTGCCACTTTGTATTCACCATTCCACTGGATGATAAACCCTCCATTCAGGTAATATTTTTCTGGGTCTTTGCTTCGCACAGCAAGGAAATTTCCTGCTTCTGCAACTTCCATGACTTTGATTCCCCTCGCACCTTTCGGAATTAGCCCAATATCAACGTATCCTAAGAGACAAAAAAGGCTCATGGAGGTGAACAACAAAAATGTCATTGCATTTTACTTATGTATGAGATTATTAAAATATCAGCTTTTCTTGAAAATATATACAAATGTGCTATCACAGAGCTCGTATTTCAGTTAGTTAATAGCGTGAGTTTCCAAGCCAGGTTTTCCAGTATCAGTTGGGGAATACGAATACGCATTGTGTTTAGGCAATGACAGTGTCATTTAGAAAGGATACAGAGGTGAATGATTTGCTGAGCTGCACTAGGGGAAATCTACTCCACAGTTGAGTATCAACATCTCCATAACCGTACACAAGGGCTCTGGCATACTGCAATGTGAGTAATCTGGAGCAATGCTAGGGAATCCCACCAAGTTAACAGTCTTTTATGGGAAAGGTCTTTTCAATTTGCAGGGAACGTTTTCATCTGTCACCAACGTACAGGTACGTACATAATTCCATGTACCTTCTCTTAAGTCTTCTAACTTCTCCACGACTGTTTCCCATAGTAGAGAAACATGTAGCCTTGTAGCTGCATGTAGCCTTGCTACAAAAAACTGAACGTTATTCAAATGTCTTGAGTTACTATGATCAGTCGAACACATTTTTATAAACTACCGATTTTCATAAGGAAGTTCAACAGCTCTTAATGTAAAAATTTATCTGTAAAAAGAGATTTGCGGTATGTGTGTTAAGAATGATCTCAGAGCATCTATTACAGAATTTTGTTTGCACCACAGGCAATATATGACATCAGGCTCTGTGCTTCTCACCTTACAGGGAACTGCTATTGCTATTGCTACTGAATTGTAAAAATAGGAAGTTCACATAGAAATTTGAACACAAACTCAGATAGCTTTCTATTGCTCCTGGCTGGGCTTTAGAAATTGGATGGATGACAGCTCTACAAGCAGGTGCCCTGGGAGTGTGAGCTGCAGTTTGTGCTGGTTCACTTCAAGATGTGGTTCCCCAGTTCTCATCACACACTGCTGAGGTCATGAATTAAACTCTGAGACTCACATCCCATTCACCTTTCTTGTGAAATAAGCTTATCACCTTTGATTACTCACTCACATGAGTGAGATAAACCACACTGGGCATACTAAGAGATATTCAGTATCAATGCTGTCCACCTACCAGAAGTACTTACATGCTGTACAAAAACCTGCTGTTGTAAATAAGTGCCCCAAAGTCTTTAACATCTGAATTTTCTTTGCAGTTCTTTTGTGGGGTGATAAGTACTGGTTCTAATGTCGTATGTTGCTTACGGTATAAAAAAGGATCTGTCTACTTCAGGCCCTTCCTAATTACATTAACAATATATAATTACATATATTTTTTCCATTAATGTTCAAGAGGGAGAGTTTTCTGGATGTCACCTTTTGCAAGTTTCCTAGACTGACTGGGGAAATCCAAACTTTTCAGTCTTTTGTAAGTGAAGGGAACAATAAAATCTGGGGGATTACTGAGTAACTTCTCTTATAGGAAAACAGTGGTCTAAGTAACCAAGGTCTAACGATTCTCCCAAATGTTCTATTCATTCAGTGCAGAGGAGACGTATTATGAACACAGTGTGTGATAGTGTAACTAAAGACTTGATTAGAAGGCATACTCATAAGTGGCCAAATTAACACAGCATGGAAAATCTTAATTATGTCACATCCTGACAGCTTGGCTTTGAAACGCTGGTGTCATTTTCCAGTAGGTTTTTTTCAGATGTAATTAGAATAACATTTGTTCAAAACACAAAGTATAAAAATAATAAAATGCAATTTTTTCATTGTAACATAAAAATCTATACCCTTTTAAGTTTTTGCAAATTATTTTTGTCCAAATCACCTGCTATTGCTCACAAACCTCATTTTAAATGTATTGCAACTGTCTGGCGATAGATGTTACCATTCGGTCAATGTATCACACTCCCTTCTCCCCAGCCCTCCCTTTTTTGACTAGCTAAATTACTGCCTGATTTCCCAGAACCTCATGCTAATTCCCAATGAATGTTATCTGCTTTTGAAAGGAAAGCTAATCAGCAGCAGCTTTTGAGTTTGTCACTTAACATAATAAATTTTTGTTTAAAAATAACATGGATGGTGTTTATACAATTGTTCCTGGTTATATGGTTTCCTCTGATAAGGATCTAGAGATCTGAGATTCAATAACAGTCAAAATGTCAGCTGTCTAACCTACATGCTGTGCTCATTAAATCCTGGAGCATCTAACTTAACAGGAGAGCTTCTGACTTTGCCCAGGCCTAGACCTGGCTTTTCAATGCCCTGCTCATGTTGAAACATTTCTGCCATTAAGAGTTCAGCTGAAGCAACTTAAATGATTTTCTAATGAATATCCTGAAAACGAGGTGCAGACCAGGTACTTGCTAATATTAGTGTCAACAGCTGAGACCATTCATGCACATCAGACCTCTGATTTGTGTTCCATCATGAAACTCTAATGGTATCCATTACACAGATGATGCTGCCATTCCTGCGGCTGTGTTGGGAGCCCCCCAAAATGGGACTGCTATTCCCATTTTGCATCCACAGGAAAGACAAAGAATTTTAAAGAAAATCCAAGAAATAATACAGATTTTAAAACTTTTCTTTCTGAAAATGAGGCAGTAAGACTTCAGATAAAACTGATCACCCTGCCTGCAGTGAAAGGCTGAATTATTAAAACTTGCAGACAGAATACACACTGCTGCAGCACCAGACCCAAGAAAGGCCCTGCTGGACTTAGATTCTGAATAACGCTTTAAATCAAAATACGTTAGCTTTGATTTTGTATTTCTCTGTGCCATTAAACATAGAAAAAACTCTTCAAATCTTCCTTGCCAGCAACTGGCAGCATGCTTTGATCCAGTTTTGTTACCTATACTGAATTTATGAGCTTGAAGTCTTTATGTTTACATAAACTGTTCAGTAGCCACTCTGCCATAAATCTGTACTGCAAGACAGAGCACTGCAGTACCTGTCATAGACAAAAAGAACCTAGATATTGTGAACAAAACCATTTTCCTATTCTCAGTTTAACACCTGTGAACATCAGTGAGATCCACATGTTGTCTTAAAAGCTGAAGAGCCCACCAACCTCTGCCTTTCCTGACACTTCTCCTTATTTTGTCTGCAATGGAGTCAACATCTGTAGAAGGGAAAGAATCTGCAGAATCAATCAATTTTTTACTGAATCTAAAGAAAGCGATGAAATAATTTTATATTTCATTACTTAACACTCAGTATCCCTCAGTAGTATCTGTCAATGAGGCTTACTGAAACTTGGGGTAAGGAAAAACTAAGTGAAGATAAAACACAAAATGAATTTAAATAAAATAAGAGGCAGTTATCCTCCTACGTGTTACAGTACTGGACGTTTTTAGTGAAACTGTTACTTGAAAATAAACTCCACACCATCTGCAGCCTTGGAAAACCCACACACAGCCAAAGGCAGAGTGAATTTTAGAGTAGCAGAACCAAAAGATCAGAGGCTGGATGATTACTGTAGTACTGGAGGAGAGGGAGCTCTAGATTTTCCTTTGTAAGTCTCACACACGTATAGAACCTGCACTGCTGCATGGTTGCAGGCATCTTCACAGATCATCTGTGGGATACGGAGCAGAGGAAAGCAAAAGTACAGAAAACAACTTGAAATAGTAAATGTGATTTTCCCCCAAACTTTGGACAATTCTATCAAACCAGCTCTAAATTATTAGCACAAATCATATTTGTTCAAATCAAAATTTATTTTATGAAAAAAACCCCATAAACCCAAAAGCCAGCCAAAGCCACACCCTCACCGCAGTACCTCCCTCCTCACTTACGGTACCAATTATTGCTCTTGAGACTTCTCATCTCTGCACCAGCCTCTTTCTTCAGCCACAGACCCTGCTCTAAGCACACTCTCCAGTGCCGCATCTTCTCACCTCTCCCTCTCCTGTCCTAGTTCCCCATTCAAAGCTGATCATCCTGGCTGTCTGTTCCATCTCCAGCTCACCACCATGGTTCTCATTCAGTTTTAGTCTCCCCCTCCCTCTTCTAGATTCTCTGGCTCCCATTCATCCTGCATAATGAATGTCTCACTGCCGTCAGTGAAGAAAGGCTCAGTCCTCCAAGTGCTGATTCAGACCACCTTAACGCTGCAGGAAATTACTTTTCTCCTCTTTCAAGCCAGAAGCATCCCATAGAAAATTTTAGAGCAACCAGATGTGCAAAGTTCTGCATGAGGAAGATGTGGCACACGCTTACCAGAGCCAATGATACCCGATTTATGACACTTAGAAATGAAACTCCAAGCCACTCACTCCAGCATTTTCTTGGTGCTTTGCACTGTCCGGAGATTTGGTCCACATTTTCCAAGGTGGTAAATTACATTAATTTTGTAAATGCACTTGCTATTTCGGGTTTTATTATCTGCGTAACCTGCGTAGGGTGTGTTGGTCTCTGACATAATTTTTATTAGACAAGGTGAACTTAAAAAACACAGACCACAGCTCTTTTCTGGAAGAAGCATGATTCACTGCAAAACATCCATTTACAATTTCTTACACAGATCAATCACTCAGTTTGCAATAAGAAGTGCTTAATCCTTTTTATGTAGACAAATTACTTCACCAACTGAAGAGTTTAAAAAAAGAACCCGTATTACCAAATCCTTCACTTTGATTAAATGTCATCTTCACTGTACGACAAGCAGAGCCGTCTCCCAGGCAGACTCCACACTGATCTTCAGTTGCGTTGGAATTTATCTCATAATCACAGCCAACAGACTAGAAGGAAAAACAGTTTCAGAATAAATGTGACCTCCACAATGAAATACTCAGAGCTCACGTATCACTGCCTTCAGTGTACTCTACTCTCCTAAAAAGGGGGAGAATCAATTTTGTGGAAGGGTATATATCCTATATAAACACACTAGTAGTAGATATTGTTATATTTAGATCAAACTCGTATATAATATGAAGGTGAAAAACAAACAAACAACAACCATGACCATGTCATGAAACATACAGTAGTGACCAGTCACTTGAGATAGAAACATGCTACCCAAATGGTCTCAACATCTAGGATTGGCCAGTACATCTAGGATTTGTGTCTGCTTTCTCATGTCACAGAAGCACCCATGGATTCCTAGGAATACAATGCAGTAGCAGAACTGAAATCTCTGTGTCAGCTTTTTGTGGCTGTCAGACAGTGCAGAACCTCTACTGCAGTCAAACCCTCTGGCAAAGAGAAACTCTTCAGCAGGCATGAAGTTTTATACCCGTGACAGCTGCTTCTCCAGCTCGCCAGCATGGGGGAATGGATCAAGTTCTGGTAAAGACTAATTTTCCAGTTCATGCTTGCTACAGGAAGAAAGCGAGAGGAAAATTTATTCATACTGAGTAAGGACAAAACTTCTTCTTGCCCAAATCAAAAATCCTGTGCACTAATGCCTTTAAACGTCAAGAAAATCTTCACTTGGTTTTGGGTGTTTTTTGCCTCTCTTTAAAAACTAGCAAGGTTGCAGAATACAACTTAATGTCCAACACTTAATGGTTTTTAATAGCATCTAAGATATCTGGAAGCCTGTGATTTAGATGAATAGCCATAAATCTGGTGGTATGTAAAGTTTTTCTCAGCTGATTTTTCTCAAAACAACCTTTCAGGTGCAAAACCTGCCAACTTCTCTACCACCCTCTTAATGTATGAAAATCTGGGTATCCCCTCTTTTGATTCTGATCTTATTTTACTTTCAGTACATCAGCTACTGTAATCTTCTATAAGCTTCTGACAGGAAAATCCATCTATTAGATATAGAGGTATAAAGGCTCCTTCATTCTCTAATATTTTTCCATCATTTTCAGCTCAAGAAATACCCGAACTTTTCCTCTATGCACCAGTGATTTAATGAATAGCTAGAGAAGCTACAAAAACAGAAGCAAGGAAATGCCTCAAGTTACAAACGGTATTAAACCATGTCACTTGCATTTTTAGAGGGTTCAAAAAAGACTCATCCATCACTTAATGCCCACACTTCACCAACACCTTTGATACCCGCTCTGAAAAACAATGGCCATGCCAAAAGGTTCTCCAGCAGCCTCAGCTTCTCTCTCCTTTCAGCAGGGGCTACTTTCAAAAAAGGAAAGGTATTGTAATGTCTTTCACACAGACACATCTTGGCACCAAGGACCACATTTATGAGCAGTACAGAATGTTACAGAGATAAGCGCATGTTAAGAAGGTGACTACATTTTTGCCTCCAAGCATGTAGCTATTCAACCAAGGATGGATTTAATGAAGTATTCAAAGTACACACATGCCATTGCGATAAGTGCAGGATGTTTTTTTATCTTACCAAGAGTTCAGATCCGACTCTTCACCTGCTATCTACAGATGCACTGCAGTTTATATTTAACACTTCCTAAGAATTTAAAGAGGTAGGTGTCTAGTTATTTTCTTAAAGAGATGCATTCTGCAATATATTTACTGTACTATCAGTACATTTGTTAATCATCTACGAACAGTTAGTAAAGTCACTGTTACCAGGTTTATTATTAGACAAGAGGAGTAACCAGCCTCTCTGGAGAGTCCTGAAAGTTGAAGTTTACTTTCAAATCTATGCACATATTCACTATGAAACCGAAAGTTGGGGAAAATCTGGAAATGGAACCCTTGCATTTCATGTTTTGCTATTATAAAATATTATTAGCAAGTGTTTTGGAGCTTCTCTTTTGAACTTCTTAAAAAAAAAGACTTGTCTTCAAATTGTATCATTTTTGCCAAATTAGCATTTTCTGGTAGAAAATGCATGTTCTTGAAAAGGTTTCTGTTCATTTTTATTTACTGTTCATGCTTGTTTGAGTGACATAATTTATCTAGTTCATGCTGTCAATCAGACATTTTGAAATGAACATCACTGAGCATATCCCTTGTGAGTACTGTGTAGCATAAAAATCCTCAAACACTGAACAAATTAGTCCTGAACTACTGTACTGGCACTAGCAAATGAGTCCGATGGCAGCACCACAGCATCATCGCTTTCCTTCCTTTGGGGTCCCAATTAGTGCCTCTGCGTGGGCCATACTCTGCATCAGCTCAGTCAGAATCACCTCAGATCTTTCCCACTTGGCCATACATTTCCTTTAGCAACACATACATGGCATCAAAATATGACATCGCTATGACATGAAGGGAATCCCTTTGTCCCTTGCAGTTATAACCTCAGAAGCTTGTATTTTGTTTTTCCTCTGATATTTGAAACATAGTTTGTATCTGATCGGACATCACAGTAAATAAAGCCTTCATTTTATTCCCTAGCTCTGGAGTGCTGCTGACCTTCATATCTAGCAATAGGGCCTCGTCTTACAAGGCCGTTAATGACCATTACAAGTGTATATGCTCATGTATCAGAATAAACAGCTCCAGCAGTCATTCATTCTAAGTACATTTACATGAACTTTAATTTCCAGGCCATGTTTTACTTTCCCGCTCCAGTGAATATCACATTATTTTTGTCATCCATTAGATTAATTTCTAGATGCTTCCTCCTCCATTTTACTTGCGTTCCTCATTCTTCTGATTCTTCTAGATAAGCAGTAGGCATATTTTCTAAAACTGCCTTAAATAACGTGCCTCAAATTTCTGCCAAATTTCCTCTTAAAAGGGATCTGGAGACTAAACGCAGGTTATAAACCAAGAAAGAAGTCAGCAGCCATTAGGCTCTGACTCTTTTGCACACATATGTCCTTGTGCACCCTCTGCCAGTGAAACATGCTGTGCTACAGCAACCACTGTGTGCCATAGCATATGCAGCGCAAATTAGCATCCCTCCATACAGCCCTTTACCATTGCCCCATTCACCAAGAGCCTTTTTGAGGCACCTGAGACTAGCTTTATTTCAGGTCCCAGCACACACTGCGGAGGCAGAAAATATGACCTGAATTGCCTGGCTGCATTACAGGAAAGAGAAACAATTTCTTTCCTGGTGCTCAGTGACTAAAGGGAAAACAGCCAGAGATATTACTCTTTTGCCACTTCCAGAGGGAGAAACGTGTGTCACGTTGATGGTGGGGGGCAGATACAAAAAGTCCTTGCTGTCAGTGAAGGGTACGGCCTGGATGTACTGCCTGAATATCAAAGTTATGTGAATGCTATATCGCGCTTTTAAGCTTCTCCTTCCATTTGTCTCCCCCACTGGTCTCCAAATAAAGAAATCATGTTCATGTCATGTTGGTCATGACATTGCCTTGAATGGGGAGAAACGTGTTCCGATGTGCCTATTTCTCTTATAATTTGTCTAGATGGGTCTGAATCAATGTCCTGTCAGGCTAGCAGTGGGAGGAGGAGGTTGAACCACAGTGAGAGGTAGTAAAGCTACTACAAAAAATCTGAGATGTGTAATCTGCTTTTCAGCAAGAGAAAAAAACACTTTCCTCCCTAGTACTACACAGTTGTGTAATTCTCCAATACAATGTTAGTCTCTCAACATAACAATCGTGAACTACCACAGAGAACAGCTCACAGATTTGCATGATTGAAGGTCATTTAAGCCTATTAAAATTCTGTGCAGGAGATGAATGCCTGTTAGAAACAGCAGAGATGCCAGGTCCCCCACCCTCAGTGTCTGCACACTCTCAGTGCGTACACCATGTATGCACTTTTAGATGATGCCACGGCTTGTATTTGACCAAACTTCTCAGTCATGTACGCATCACTGCTCAACAAACATACTCTGGTAGCAGTATATTTGCTTATTAACACTTTGGGAGCAAATGACTGCTCTAGTAAGAATTAAGAGTGCACTTGTGATATATAATTTAAAACAGAGGAAGACAGGATATGTGCTTTAAAGATCTTCGAAATAAAGGGAAAAAAGTGACACTCAAAGGATGAGCATGGAGGAATATGGTTAAATAGCAAACTAGTCATGGTATATCTTGATGATTTTAGATTAAATTACTGACAGATCTTGTTGACTCCCTCTGCTCAAAGCTGTTTATAAGTCATCATCATGACAGAAGGGTATCTAAGAGGGTACCTGAAGGAAGGCCAGGCTAGGTGCAAATACAATAAAAGGATTAAGGGGACCGCATCTCTCATCTCCTTATTAGAATCATAGAATCATAGAACCATTA